GCTTTCTGCTCCCACACTGGGCTTTTCCCACCTTGTTCTTGCCACACCAGGGAGGACTCAGAGTGCCCCATAAATGCTTACTGTGAGCTTGGTGTCAAGCAGCTCAGCAGGCCTGTGACCCAAGACCACCTGAACTTGGTAACACGTTGGGTGGATGGAAATCAGTGAAGGGCCAGAGACACAGGACTAGATTCCAGTTCAAACTTCCTGGGTTTGAATTCCAGCTCTGCCTACTATTAGCCAAGACCCCAGTTAAGTTACTTAACCTCCCTGCGGCGTTTCCTGCCTGTAAGACAGGAATACTCACAGGTCCCACCTTATAGGGTTGTTGCGAGAATAAGTGCTGAGCATCAGCTCTTGTCACTACTGAAGGATGAGGACAGAAGGGGGAATGGCAGGATTCCAGGTGAAGAGGCAGACGCAGGAGGCCAGAGGCTCGGCACACCTCAAACCTGTCGCCATCAAGCTGGCTCCAACTCATGGTGACCCAAAAGGACCAAGTAGAACAGGACCGCAGGCTTTCCAAGGCTGTAATCTTTATGGGAGCAGACTGCCACTTCTTTCTCCCACGGAGTGGCTGGTGGCTTGGAACCACCAGCCTTTCAGTTAGCAGCCGAGCCTTAACCACTGCACCACCTGGGCTCTTGGCACACCTCAGGAGGCCTTCGAAGCTCTGACGGGCAGAGAAGGCTACTGAGGCGTGGAGGTTGACCATCTGCTTGTGCTCCCCAGCCGGCGGGGGCCGGCGCTGCTGGTGTCCAGGTCTGCTGGCTGCAGGCCTGTCCTGCCCCACCCTCTGCCCCCACAGGACTGTTCCCTCTGGACCCAGGCTCCCAAAGCAGGGGCATCCCAGGGCTGCTGAGAAGTTACCCAGGAAAAGCTGCGCTTTTAGGAGGGCCCCGAGGGAGTCAATCTCCAGGCCTTGGCCCTGGCAGCGCCCGGCTTCTGAGAAGGGCACTGGTGTGGGAGCATTTTAATGTCTTTTAAATACATAATCTGGGATTAGATACCCATTCATATGACCTTTGTCCGTTCTTGCCTGGAGCCACTGGAGTGTGAGTTAATAAGTACTGGAGGAAGCAAGCAAGGCGAGGTGGGGTTTGAGCTGGAGCCGCAAGGGAAGGGGAGGAGCCCTGAGTCTCTGCTGGGCGCAGGGCCTTCAGCCGGGCCCGTCCATTTGCGGACAGACTCCCTCCACAGCCCTCTATGTCCCAGGGAGCCATGTGTCCTGTCTGCCCAAGACACTCTGGGTTTCCTTCTGTTTATAGCACTCAGTATCACTTCCAAAGAGTTCTAGTTTGGATGCTAAATTAGACGGTCCCCATACTTCACCCCATGATGGCAGTGGTGGTCCTGGCTGACACTCCTGAGTCCCAGTGCTGTTTTTCCAGCCACAGCTGGTCTCAAGGATTGGCCCAATGTTTGGGACCAAATCGTCCGGCATGTTTTAAACGTTGTTTGCTGTCCATTCAGTTCCAACTCACAGCAACCCTATGGGACAGAGTAGAACTGCCCCATACAGTTTCCTAGGCTGAAACCTTTACAGGAGCAGATTGCCAGGTCTTTTCTCCCTCGGAGTGGCTGGTGGGTTTGAACCACCGACCGTTGGGTTAGTAGCTGAGCACACTGCACTACCAGGGCTCCCTGTTTTAAGCATAGTACTCTACAAAGGTCTCAAAGTGGGGTCCCCAAGTCAGCGGCATCAGCATCGCTTGGAAACCTGCTAGGAATGCAGATTCTCAGGGCCCACCTCAGACCCTCTGCATTGGCAGCGGCAGGGCTGGGGCCCAGTCATCTGCTTTACGCAGTCCTCCAGGGGTCTGGGTTCTAGCCCCAACTCCGCTTGTCACTGTCCAGCTGGGGCTTCTCCTTGTGCCCGTTTTCTCAACTGGAAATTGAAGATGACAGCACCTCCCCCATGTGTATTCCATGTCGGTGTAAAAAATCAGCTCCGATGCGACCCATGAGGATTATTTAACAAAAAAAGGGTTAAATGTCTCACAAAGGAGGTTGATGCCCTTTCCACGCCCCTCTTGCTTCACGCATCTAAGACCGTCATGAGCAGTGGTCTGTAAGCCAGGTTCTCACCTCGGAACCTTCCATCTGCTTCCAGGGTCTTGAAAGCTTCAACAGTGCATGCAATACCACGTGTGGGAGTGGAAATGGGCCTTTTCCTGGAGAGACCACCACTCAGAGCCCCCACAGCCCAGCACCATGAATCTGTAGCAGGTCTCTGCAACCCCCCCTTCCCACCACAGGCCCGTGACCCTCGTGAAACGGTAAGGACTTCCTGGCGGCCCCGGGCCCAGGAAAGGCAACGGCATGAAGGGTTAGAGGACAGAATACAGAGGGCTAGCCTGGGCCCGGTCCCCATCCCCCGAGGGGGTTTCCACATTTGCTAATGAGTAATGGACTCTGACGTGCGGGTGTGCGCACGGGGGTGGTGGCCTCACCCTGCTGTGTATTTCTGAGCCCACAGTGGGGGATGCGGCAGGGTGAGTCTGCAGGCATTTTCTCTGCCCCGGCTGCTTCACTTCCTTCATCTCACCAGCCCATCGCAGCAGCTCCGGGAGGTCCTTCTTACCTCACTTTGTAAGTAAGACTGAGGCAGAAAGAGAAGTGACTTGCCCGATGGGGCAGAGGGGATTGCCATTGTTGTTAGGTGCCAAGAAGTTGATTCTGACTCCTAGTGACCCCATGTGACAGCGGAGAACGGCCCCATAGGGTATCCTAGGCTGTAATCTATACCAAAGCAGGTGGCCAGCTCTTTCTCCTGCAGAGTCACTGGGTGGGTTTGAACCGCCAACCTGTCAGTTAGCAGCTGAGCGCTTAACTACTGCGCCACCAGGGCTCCTTCCATTTCCACTAGACAATGACATAAAGGGACTAATCTGAAAGCAAAGTGGCTGAAGGACATTTAATCCCAAGGCATGGTTTTGGCCATTTCAGCAATTTCAATGGTTCTGGGCAGAGCATGGGTCAAGGGGCAGATGGTCTGAAGGGAAAAGCAAATCAAGGCAAAAAGTGGGGGGCCTCCGACCTAACTGCCCAGAAAGCTTTCTGGCAACCACACCACTCCATCAGATCGTGCACTCAATACAGTCTCTAAAGATTAAATGTAAACAAAGGCAGTCTTTGGGGAACACAACTACCGTGTTTGAAAAGCAGTTTAGAATCCAGGTATCTGAGATCCTTCTCCCTCTGTGAGGGGCAGTCGTGGTTCACTGGGAGAGTCCCTGCTTTCCATGCAGGAAACCTGGGTTCAATCCCTGGCCAATGAACCTCGTGGAGAGACACCACCTGTCTGTCACTGCAGGCTTATGTGTTGCTATGATGCTGAACAGGTTTCAATGGAGCTTCTAGACTAAGATGGACAAGGAAGAAAGGCCTGGCAATCTACTTCTGAAAATCAGCTGATGAAAACTCTGTGGATCACAATGGTCCAACCCCATTGTGCACGGGGTCACCATGAACTGGGGGTGACTCAACAGCAGCTAACACCAGCAATCACTCTGCCCTCTGTGAGTGCTATGAGACCTCTCCAGCAGGCACTGTGCCCCCAGTGTCTGAGCAGGAGGAAGGTGGCACCTACTCACAGGTAGCAAGGCCGTGAGACTTGAGGTGCATCCTGTAGTAGGGTGGAAAACTTCCCTTAAATAAGGCCTCAAAGAAACAGACTTGGGGTCCTTGACGCCCTGCACTAGTTTTTCCAGAGAAGACTCTCATCTCGACGGCTCCCTGACTCCAACCACCCCATCAGCTCCTGGCTGAGACGCAGATTCCACGGCTAGGCTTTCTTCCTGCTTCCAACTTCTCTGGAAGCAAGTGTGCTCGTTCCTCAGCCAAGGAAATGGGCCCAGGGAAAAGGGCATTTGCTCACGCAGCCCACCAGCAGGCTGGCTGGGGTTCCAGCCCAGGGTCATCAGAGGCCACACTGCACAGCAGGGAGCCCTGAGGGGGCCAGGCCAGAGAGGGACCTGGCCCCTGCGGTGGGACTGGTCCACACCCCCAGGCGCTCCCTTCACTTAGATCCTTATCAGCGTGGCCGGAACTCGGATGCAGGGCAAGGGGATCAGCCACCTACAGGGCCCGCCACAGACGCGTCAACGCGGGAAACTGACGTAAGTTTCATTTATTCTAGGGCAAACTCAAAGGGGCTTTTGTTGTTGTTGGTTTTCCTTTTTAGCAAATTTTAGCACATTAACAAAAAAACTCTGTACATTTGCCATGATACATTTCAGAGTGAAACAAATAAGGTATAAATACAGATATGGATGTAACATGAAAAAGCCAAAACGAAAACCAAAAAGCCCACCCAGGTGTGGGGTCATGCGTGGGAACACAGTGCCAACACAGCTATTTTGGTGGCTGGTATTTTTCAGAGCACTTCTTTTTTCATTTCCAAACATTATTGTCAGCAAAGTCCTGATGGGATTCTACGAAGCTCTTACTTGCTGTCCTTTAAGGTGTGATAGTGCGCTTGATAAATAAAGGCAGCAGGGGCGGAAAACAAGGCTTAGGGACCAACATGCAGCTGTGTCGCTGCACGGGGTATCGTGAAGCCAGTGACGGTCATAGAAAGGCAGATGTCCTGTGGCTGAGCGGTGCGGCCTGACGGGGGACGGCGCAGCTGGCGGGAAGCAGAAGTCAGTGGGGTGAGCCAGCCCCTAGCGGTGGGCAGGGTGGGCACGAGACCCTGGGCAGCCAGGTAAACAGGAGAGCAAGCACAGTTCTGGGTGCCTGGCTGTTGTGTGAGTCTGTGGTTCCAGACGACAGGGCCCTGCAGGAGGTGGCGGCTACTGTCAGGATTCCAAGGGAGGCAGGGACGTGCCACCCTTCCCATTGGGGAGGTGACGGCTGCCAGGATTCTGAGAGGGAGGCAGGGACGTGCCTCCCTTCCCATGGGGCGGCGACAGCTGTCAGGATTCCGAGAGGGCGACAGGGACATGCCTCCCTCTCCAGGGGGCGGCGGTGGCATGCGTGCGTCTCCTCAGCGTGGTGGGCAGCATTTTCCAGACCTCGGCCGAGCGGCTGGCGAAGTGACTCTCTCTCTGGTCAAGAGGTTGAAGGTTGGGCAAGTGACATTCAAGGCTAGCCCTTTGTGAGTGGTATCAGAAAATGGGGCGACGCTCGAGAGTGTTCCCAACTACACTGGGGGACCAGGGGGACCTTCTGGGACGTCAGAGAACAGAAGGAGAGAGGTATTTCTAAATGCAGCAGACGAAAGGAACTCATAAATAACCTCACCGGAATGCACACTTCTACAACAGTGGGGTACCAAAAGCCTCCTTGACTCACTTGTAGACTGTGAAAAGGAAAATCCATTCATGAAATACTAACCAACAGTGTTCATCAGCCAAAGTAAGGCTTGGCCCTACTATGCTGGATGATAACCACTAAAGACACCCCGCGGTCCCCGGAAAGCAGCGGCGGGCGCCTCCTGCACCATCCACCTGCAGTGCTGGCACCCGGCCTGCCTGCTCCTGGACCTGACAGGGTGCTTGCTCTCAGAGCATATTCCCAAACAAACTGTAAATAAAGAAGAGTTACATGTTTGCTACGGTGTCCTTCACAACTTCCAAGAAAACCTCAAGGGGGGCTGTAGAAATGAGTGGTAAGAACCCGCGGGTCTCCTCAGTCCTGCCGCCACAGTGGGCTCTGCAGCGGAACACCAACCACCTCACTGAGAGGGAATATTAAAATAGGCATTTTCTTAAGGAAAAATCAGTTCAATTTAGAGGACCTGAAAGAGGAGTCAAAGGTAACAGAAGTCTTCATGATTACATGCAGAATTTCACTTGGCTCGAAGAATATTACTCAAAACTGTGATCTACCCAGACTCCAAATCTGGTTACTCTGCTTACACCAATGAAACCCTCGTGAGGTTAGGAAAAAAGGGGCCTGGTGGTTTCTCACTGAAGGGAACGAAACAGACTCTAAAATTACATTTCAAACCCTGTTTTTTTGCAATTTGCTATTCATCATAATTACTTTTTCCTTAAACAATGAGTATTCATTTCAACAGATGATCAAGGAAGAACTTCAGTTTATAAAACAGAATAATGATTCTGACACACGGTCTCTCCGGGCTTTTCTTTGATCTTAATTCTACATTAGAAAGAAGTCAAAATCCGAGGCGGTCCGTTTGCCATTTACCGGATGAACTGAGAACGTGTTAGCGTTGAGGAGTTGAGGCGAAGCTGCAGGGGACAGGAGAAAGACGGCACTGAGTCCGCACCACGCAGAGCCCTCCAAGTACTGAGGGTCACGGAGAATCACCGCCAGCACAGCGCGTCTTAGCAGTGAGACCAGCGGCTTTTCTGGTGTCTTATGTACTTGGTGAAATATGAATTCAGGCATCCACTAGATGATGCTATAATTTACCTAGATTTTTGTGTTTGGATTTAAACTCTAAGACTCCTTTGAGTGGAAGCCCTCGCTTGGCAGGGACCGCTCAGAGGGGCTGGGAGACTGCCCTGGAAGGAGACTATGGAGCGTGCCCCTGGGACTCCACGCTCAAAGTCGGGGCAGTCTGCCTCCAGGTGGAGATAAAAGCAAAACTCCCAGCATCTGTGAAAGGGCCATCTTTAGGCGCTTCAGCTCTGGCCAAGACTTGAGTGACATTTTCAGCAGTTCTCAAAATGAAGCTTAAAGACACACAAGCTTTTCACAGTGTCAGCTGTGCACGGGGCAGGTCTCTGCTCCGCGTGGGCCACACTCATAAAAGAAACAGCATGAAGAAGGAGAAACCCAAACGAACACCCCGTTTCTGTGAACAGCTAAAGAGAAAACACTACTTTCTAACGAGTGTCGGCTGGAGGCTCTGAGTGTGAAAAGCTGCACCCCGCACGCTGCCTCACGACCTCGGCAGGCTGCACCAGACAGCGTGTCCGAGTACGCCTCTTTCCTTTTCGGATTCCTTCTGCTCTGCGTGAAGACTGCAATACAGGCCTTGCTTCCTTTACATTCAATACCAGTAAGATTCTACACAAAAGCTGAGAGGGACAAAATACTGATTGTAATACAGATCTGCAGGCCTCCTTGTACTGACTGGGCGGTCGGCGAAGGGTCAGGGGAGTCTGTGAGAGGACCACCGACTACTTGGAGGTCTGCACGGAGGGCTGGCGCCGCCATCAGCTGTGTGTGGACACGTCGGAGGAGGAGCTGCTGTTGCTGTTTGTCGTCTGGGCTCTCTTTATGTATAAGTTTAACAGCTTCATCTGAAAAGAGAAGACAAAGTGAGTTCGCAGGAGGCAGAACAACCAGTAAGAAAACAGGGAAGGTGACAATCAGCAGCCAGCAGGTCCTTAGTTGAGACATTCATGACAGAAACATTCATGGAACGCCCAGTACTCACCAAACGCTACAGCAGGGGCTAGGGCCACAAGGAGCCCTGGTGGTGCAGTGGTTAAGTGTTCGGCTGCTAACCCCAAGGTCAGCGGTTGGAACCCACCAGCAACTTCCACAGTAGAAAGATGCGGCAGTCTGCTTCCATAAAGATTACAGCCTTGGAAACCCTACAGGGCAGTTCTACTCTGTCCTACAGGGTCACTACGAGTCAGAATCGAATCAATGGCAACGGATTAATGGGTTAGGGCCACCCAGATAGGGCGGAGGTGACGGTCTAGAGGAGGAGAGAGAAAAGCAAAGGGGCTACTACACAAAGAGTGAAAAGCGTTCTAATGAGGCAGCTACGGGGCTCCCTGGAGAGATGTCTGGGGGCAGAGGCACGCGTTTCAAGGGCAGCTGCAGCCCACTGGCCGAGGAACATGCGGAAGGCCCCCGCCCCACAGGGATCAGGGCACCGTGCCAAAGTCGCATGTCAAGTTCACACCTTCACTCAAGCCGTCCCTTGTCTCGCCTGCTGTCTCTCCACCCCACTTCTCCCTGCCTGACACCTCCTGCAGTGCTGTGGTACCTCTGTGAAACCCTCCCGACCTGCTCGTCGGGACGCACCTATGCCTTCCTTCCACCCCCCGCGGCACAGGGATGCCTTGTTCTGAGTTAGCAGGGGGCTCGCCAGGTCCTTCACCCGGATCCCGTGCCCTGAGGCCAGACAGTGTGTCACATGACAGCAGACCTCAGGCAGGTGGATGCTTCACAGGCAAAGGGCTTGTGGACTCGATCGCGTCTGCTTCTAACCTATGTGCCTCTGGGCTCTCAAAATCCGTTTACTAGTCCAACACCCATTCCTGATAAAAACTCTCAATAAAATAGGTACAGAAGGGAAATTTCTCAACATAATAAAGGGCATCTATGCAAAACCAATGGCCAACATCATTCTTAATGGAGAGAGGCTGAAAACATTCCCCT